TGCCGACCTTCGGCTTCCTATTCCTTCTTGCGCGCGGTATCGCGCGCGCTTGCGCCCCACGCACGTCAACGCCAACCGCCTCAACCTCGCCTAGTCCCGCACGGACTAGGCTTCACGCATCTTCCCCCCACGCGTGCGCCATCTTGCGCGCTATTCTTTCGCTGCCGTCCTTGTGCGCGTATGCGCCCAACACGCCTATGCCGTCGCGGTGTAGGACTCCCGCATTTGCGCTACACCCGTGCGCTTTCTTGCGCGCCCGGTTCCAATCGATCCTTCCGCGCGCGTGCCGTCGAGTGTCCGTCTTTCCTATGCGGACGAGGACTCTGCCTGCGTACACGCCCAACGCCCGCGCATCACCACCCGATGCGCGTCTCTCGCCCATTTGCCCATCGGCCACGCCCGACCAATCTTCACATTCTCCGGGCTCGATTACCACTTCCGTATCATTCCCGCCCCCTTTAAGCACATCCTTGTCCTCAAGGATCGAGTCTATTTCCAAACTCCTCATTTCGGCTTCTCGACTTTTTCCTTTCGGTTCGGTTTTTAACATGATGAGTCGGCTTCCCGAGTAGAACTCCATTATGCCTTTCTTGTAATTCGTAGTGACTTCTCCAAGTCCTTCAAGCCATTGAATTCCAAGAACTATCTCGGGCCCCACAATAGGTAGTGCATAGAGGTCGGCTTTGATGATCTCGCCTTGCAGATTGATAGGCACCTCTCGGTAATATTCATGACATCTTAGCCGCTCTCCATTGGCAACCCTTACATCAAACGGTTCCACTTTCGTTGCCTTGAGCTTTAAGTCCTTAGGTATTCGGTCGCAAATAAAGTTATGCGATGAGCCAGTGTCGACTAGTACCTCGATTGGCCGTTCCTTGATCTTGGCGGGTAGTCGAATCGTTCTCGGTCCCTGTAGGCCTGCCATTGCATTAACCGAGATCTCCAAATCTTCGTACACTTGCTGCGCTGGTTGGTCCTCATAGGCCTCTCCCTCGTCCTCTTCAATGACGTCGATCAGAAAAAATTGTTTGCATTGATGGCCTGGGGTGAACCTTTCTTCGCACATGTAGCAGAGACCCTTCTCACGTCGGCGTTTCATCTCCTCGAACGTGAGTTGTTTAACATTCGGAGGTGGTGTTCGAAAGTTGTTCGGTGGTCTTGGGTTAGACTGGACGTTGCTCACGTTCGTTGGTGCGTTGTCTATGATTGTGCGCTCGTTTAAGTGTTGGTCCGTACGCCGTTGCTCCAAGTTACGCATACCCTCTCGCCCGATCCTTCGTGTGGCCGATAAGTGTTCATCCCTCCTTCGCGCAGATTCCATGGCCTCGCGCATAGTCCGTGGTCGGTCATGCCTTACTTCTGCGGCTAGCTCGAATTTGAGACCTCCTATGAAAGTCCCGATGAGCGCAGAGATCGGCCAATTGCGCACCCGACAGGTGAGTCGCTCGAACTCTTTCATGTAGTCCCGAAGACTCCCCATCTGCTTGATGCGTGAGAGCGCCTCGTCATAGCTGTGATAGTCCGATGACCCAAATCGAGCAAGTAATTCGCGCTCGAATTCTTCCCATCGGATGTGGAGCGGGTTGCCTTGGTAGCTGCTCACAAGCCATTGCCACCATACGTTGGCTTCCCCATCAAGATAGTAAGCAGCATACCTTACACGGTCATTCCCATCGGTCTCATTAAGCTCGAAATATTGCACAGCTCGGTTGAGCCACGCGTCAGGATTTGTGCCGGTGAAGGTGGACAGCGTTAGTCGTGGTTTGACGGGCTTCGGCCGGTCATAGTCGTTGGACGCCTGGGATCGTCGGTCGAAGTCCTCCTCTTGATCTCGCTCCTCGCGTCGCTGTTCACGGTCCTCTTCTCGATCGCGCTCCTTACGTTGTTCGTGATCGGCGTGTCTGAGATGCTCGCGCCTTAGAGGTGCGTTGAACTGTCGTGGTTGTTGCTGCTGGAATGCCCGCAAGACTTCCTCCAGTCGCTGCTCAAGTCGCGTGACTACAGCGTTGGTGTTGTTCTCGAGCGATCCAAACCTTCCTTCCATAACCTCGCTCATACTTCGCATCTGAACGTCAAGATTGTCAATTTTGTCCTTCATCTCCTTGTT